AACACCATTACAGCATGTCACTCACTCATTCAAAAGTTTTCAGTGGCACATCCAACATACTATTAGATAACGGTCTAAATTCAACCAAGCATCCACAGGCTATAAAAATCTGGCCTTGGAGTTACACTTCCAATCTTATCTTCCTATGAATTATGCATTCTTTCCAAATGAGCTTATTGCTGTTCCTAAAACATTTGACTCATTTCTATTTCCTTGGCCTTTCCAACTCTGTAGTCCTGCTTGAAATGCCTTCCCTCATTCATGTCTCCTGGTATTCTTGGTAAAGTAACTAACACTGCCATTCTTCTGGTCTATACCCCATATAGGCTAGTTAGTTTGGCCCTGATCCCAGCAGGCAGAACTCTCTCTCCTAGTCAGCTGTGCTACCAGTGACAGCTGGATTTAGCTCTTGCCTCCCCAGCTAAATATCATAGTAGATACTGAGTTAATCCTGAAATTTGTGTTCTTAGTTTTGGAGAACTTCTTTCCAAATGTATGTAGGGTTTTTTTGTTTGTTAGTGTTTTTTTTTTTTTTTTAAGCTTCTATTTTTGAAATTGTAGCAAAATTATGGAGTCCAGGTTGTGGTCACTTATTGATCTTCTTCCACTATCTATATATTTGGGGACCTGGTGTGCTCTGAATGTAAATGCTTCTATATTTTATATAATTTTATCATAGGTGAAAATACTGAAATATGGAATATTTTTGCTGAAAACAATTAAAGAAACTTTCTTGTATCTTGTTGTTTTTTTTTTTATTTAAATCAGTTTTATTTAAGAATTTCCAACATTGACAACTCTTATAAAAAGCATCCAGCACAGGACACAGAACTGCAGCAAACAGCATTCTTAATGGGTAGCTAACAGACATTAGAACTTCCACCCTTCTTGGAGACACCTGAGCTCACTGGTGAACTCTGCTTCCACATACTCCTGCAAAGCACACTACCAGCTCAGTCCATGTCTCAACCCAGCTTCAGTTCACATTGCCACACTTACATGTCAGAAACAGAAGAGAACACACACCATACAGCATTCACAGCAGTTGACAGAAGGGTAGGGGAAATACAAGTATCATTTCACTTAACATATTCAACTAATGTGGGTTATCTAAGAACAAAACTCACTGAAAGTTTTCCAACAGAAGTGGATGTCCTTTGAATGCAAAAAACATTCGTACATTATTTGCTATCATTGCTCTCTGCACACTCTCTCACCAAAGTCACAGGATTGAGAGACGCATCTCGCCAAGTTAAAAAATATCCATTATGCACCACCAAGTCTCTGCACACACTCTCCTTTTCTCGCTCATACTAGCCTTTCATGCCTCAGCACCACCATCAATCCCACACAAGGTTTCAAAAGTATCTTGTTATTCAAAGTGAGGTTCACAGATAGGTAGCATCATATCATCTGGGAGCTTGTCAAAAATGTGGAATCTTGGGCCTACCAATTAGAATCTGCTTTATTGCAAGATACAAGTTGATTTTTGTGCAAGTAACGTTCAAGAAGCACTAGAAAAATCTCTACTTTGAGATCCAGTGTGACAGCATGACAAGGTGAAAAGAAGAAGGCAGCGTGAGTTTACAAAAATTATTCTGAAATAAAAACAAGAAGTGTATTTCATATTATTTACTAGTTGGTGATTCTGGACAATTTACTTCAATATTCTGGGTCACATTTTCTCATCCTTTAAATGGAAATAATAACTCCCTATTGTTTTATGGGGTGGTTGTGAGGTTCAAAACAAATCCTTAAACAAACATGTGAAAGTGATTACAAGAAAAAAAATCATGTAAGGTATACATATATTTTAAAATCATTATTATTGGTGTCTTCTTACATTGCTCTTCTCGGGGTCACATAGCTGGTCTGTGGCTGAGCAAGAACCACGACATGGCTCTTCGGCTTCCTGGTCCAGTCCACACTGAGTGAGGCTCCCATCAGCATAAGCTCTGCAAGGCCTTTGGCACTGCGAAAAGCAGCTGGAACAATCTTTTGAGAAAAGAATTTGACAATTATGTCTCAAGAGCCTTTAAAATGTGTCATTACCCTATGACCCAATGTTTCATTACGAGAAATCCATCTTAAGGAAATAAACTGAATTGCACATGAAGAATTTCAAGTAATTATATTCCCTACGGATTTACTTGTAATAAAAAAAATCTGCAAACAACCTGAATGTCCAACAACAGGGAATGGTTAAACAAATTATAAAATAACCATAGGATAGTACATTATATAACTAACTATTAAGATTTTTGTTTAAGGACCAGCAGTTGGTGTAATGGCTATGTCGTTGGACTTTCATGTAGTCGACTATAGTTCGAGTCATGGATATGGTGGCTTAAACTCACACTGGATGCATGTGCATATGTGCCCAAGATCCTGAGACGAGAATGAAGGAGAAGGGATTGCAGTGTGGCCAACCCCTTTGGGGTTGCTTTCTGTATCTCTGTCTTTCTGGCTAGTGCATGAGCCCTGTAGCAAAAAAAATAAAAAATAAAAAATAAAAAAAATTTTTGTTTAAAAAGAGTTTTTAAGGACATGGGAAAATGTTTGATATAATATCAAGCCAAAAAAGAAGGTAGATCATAAAATTATATTTTAAGTATGATCTCAACTATGTTTTAAAAAAGTGTGCGAGGAGGTCTATAAATAATCATAGGTCAGTATTAATACTGCTTGTCTCTGAGCACTGGCATTTTTTTGGGTTTGTTTTTAATTTTTTTAAATTATTATTTATTTAATTTTATTTTTTCATTTATTTTTTTAATTTGACCAGAGAGAGACACAGGGAGGGAGGAGGGACAAAAGAAACTGCCAGCTCCCGGACTCGAACGGTGGTCAGCCATGTGAGAGTGTCCAGCACCTTAACCACCACACCACCTGCTGGTCCCTGTTTTTCGTTTTTTAAGACAATATTTTTGAAGGGACCAGCAGATGGTGTAATGGTTATGTTGCTGGATCCCACATAGTCAGCTGTGGTTCAAGTCTCAGACGCAGTGGTTTCAAACTCAGGTCAGGTGCGGTGCATGCACGCCCGCCCAAAATCCTGAGAGAAGAATGGAAGAGAAGGGATTGTGGCATGGCCTTCCCCCCTGTGTGGTGGTTTCTCACTTTCTATCTCTGTCTCTCTCTCTGGTGAGTACATGCACCTTATAGCAAAAATCTCTCAAAAATTATTTTTTTAAAGCTTATTTATTTATATCATGAACAAGAGAGAGTGAGACAGAGAAAAAAGAGAGAGAGTCAACACCTCCGATGACGTCTTGACACCACAATCCACATCCAGCTTCAGCCAGCTTTGGATCATGGGTATGCACACAGACATGTTTGCCTTTTAAAACACAAATGAGATTATTCTATTCATGCAGTTTTGTTATCTGCTTTTCCTTTTTTTTTTTTTTAAATTATTGCCAGAGGGCATATGGCTTGCCAGAGAGACAGAGACATAGAAACAGAGAGAGAGAGAGAAGAGGTAGAAAGCATCCCCTCCAGTTGTGCACAGTCATGATGCAATCCTTTCTCCTCCATTTCGCCATCTTGTCGGGATTTGGGGTATGTACCCACATGTGCTTGACTTTTTCTTTTTTCTTTTTTTTTTTTTAAGAGAGATTTTTGCTAAAGGGCATGTGTACTTGCCAGATAGACAGAAAGTGAGAAATCACCTTCCAGGGGGGTGATTGTGTTCTCCTCCTGGGATCTTAGGCATCAACACACACATGCCTGGCATGAATTTGAAGCCACAGAGTCTGAGACTCCAACCACGGTAGGCCATGTGGGAGTCCAGCAATGTAACCACGATGCCATATGCTGGTCCTGCTTGACACATTTTTTAAGCATCCAGGACTGGGACTCAGACTGCACAGTTGGCTATGTGGAATCGGGTTTCTTCAACCAAAAGGCCAGTTTTCCTTTTTGACAATATATGATAGACAGTTTACATTTCAATAAATACATATCTATATCATGTTTCTTAATAGCTATGGAGTTTATACTGTATCTATTTGTTTGTTTATTCAATAAAATCAGATGTGTGTAAAGGCCAAACTCTGAACTTGATTCTGGAGATGCATTCAAAGATAAGCAAGTCTTTGCAATATGAACTTACTTTAATTCATTAATTAAACCCCTAGAGCTGGAAAGCACTATTACTTAATTTTCAGGGCCCACCCCACGATGCAATGGGTAAGCGCTATGCACAGGGAGCCAGATCTCATATGGTTGACCACAGTTTGAATCCTGACCTCAGTAGCTTGAAAAACATGCTGGACAACGTGTGTATGTGTGTCCCAAAGCCTGATGGGATGGAGAAATAGAAGAAAAAAGATAGTGGCATGACTGTCCCACTGGGGAGGTGTGCTCTCTCTCTCTCTCTCTCTCTCTCCGATGAGTGCATCCACCCTTTGGAAATTTAAAGAAAAAACTATGATGAATATATCTACCTATATTTTTATGTGCTTACCTGAATATAACCTTTGAATAAGTTCCTAGAAGTGTTCATTACTTGATCAAAAGGAAATATATTTTAAAGAATATGGGTCATCCTTTAGATAAGTTGGTCCAACAGATATGCCCATCACAGTGCCTATTGTTACATATTTTTGCCAGCATTTGGTATCAGGAAGTTGTTTTGTTTGTTTGTTTGTTTAATTTTTGCCTATCTGATAGTTGAAAATAAAAAGTAAGTAAAATAAATGTTTTCCTATCTCTTTTGTAAACTGACATCTCATCCCAGAGCATATCCTCTGTCCTGGGATGTTCACCTTTTCCTTAGTGACTTCTATAAAGAAATTATTATGTATCTTACAAATATTTCCAGTGTTTCTCTCTTTGGACTTCGTTTGTAGTATTTTAAAACCAGACTGAAGTTGTTTGTTTTTCCCACATAGACCAATTTCTGTGTGACTTAGTCATAGCTTTTAATGATTAATGATTAACAAGCCTACTTACTTGAAAGATTTAGAAACAATCAGGACACAGATTTCTGTGGGTAGAAACACTGATGTCAACTTGCGGATCTCCTGTTGAATAAGTTCCTGGCATGGAAAGAATTGCGGTTCTTGGGAGAGTTAAGGAAGGAAGGTAAGTGACCTGAAATTTTGTTTCTTGGTGTGAGGGGTAGAGGAGACTGGTTTTTGCTGAGTGGAAAATGTAAGATGAGTGGTTTAAGGAAAGGGAAAAGATTAGCAGCCAGGCTGGCTGGAAGAGGTCTGGGGAGGAAGATGGGGTAAAGCGAAAGAGATGTGGTGGCTGTGGTAAGGAGGGGGAGATTTGAGCAAAGGAAAAGGTTTTAAGATCATTTTTAGGAAGTTTGTCAGTATGATAATCAGCTCTCACAAAACCTGCAATAAAAACCACATTATATGTCATACGTGAAGTTGGGCTTGCACGTATTTTCAGATGCAGAAGTAGGGGACAGATCTGAAGGCAGGCTCGGGGAATACAGTGCCATGTGCCACTGCCTGTGGCCCATTGAGGTTGCCTTCCTGACATCCATTTCACTACTAGACGCGAGTTTCGCCATTCAGGCAGCTCCTCCTCTCTTGCCGGGGGTCAGTTCAGAAATCTGTGCCAATGAGATGTCGGGAAACTTTCTAAAAAGGGAAGTGTCCTTCTTGCTGAAAAAGGACAGGGAAGCATGTTGTCTCAGGTCATGTGGCCTTGAGGGGAACTAGCCTTTGACAGTAGCTGAATGGTGGGGTTGGTGTAGGGAGGGGAAGGAGAGGGCAAGAAGCTGAGTCCCTAAAGACGTCGTTAAAACACTGAGTCTGCCAGTCTTGAATTCCACCCTCCCTCTAGTTTTCCTGTAATGTGAAATAGTAAATATTATTGATCTTTTTTTTTTTTTTTTGAGAGAGAGAGGGGTTTTTGCTATAGGGCATGTGCGCTCACCAGAGTGATAGAGACAGAGACAAAGCGCCCCCTGCCCCCCGGGTTGATGGCCATGCCACAATCCCTTCTTCTCCATTCTCCTCTCGGGATCTTGGGCACACATGCACACACACATGCCCAGCGTGAGTTTGAAGCCAGTGGGTCTGGGACTTGATGAATGGTGGTCAACTATATGGGAGTTGAGCAACATAACCATTATGCCATCTGCTGGTCCTGTCTCAATTTTTCAAATTTTTAATCTGTGTCCCAGGCTTCTTTATTGAAGAATAAAATGATGGGGGGACCAGCAGTTAGCGTAATGGCTATGTCGCTGGACTCCCACGTAGTCGACCGCAGTTCGCATCCCGGATCTGGTGGCTTAAACTCATGCCGGGCGCGTGTGAGTGCGTACCCAAGATCCGAAGAGGAGAATGGAGGAGAAGGGATTGCAGTGTGGCCATCCCCTCTGGGGAGTGATTTCTCGCTTTCTATCTCTCTGTCTCTCTCTGTCTGTCTGGCAAGCGCACGTGCCCTATAGCAAAAACCTCTCCAAAAAAAAAAAAAAAAGGAATAGAATGATGGGTGTTATCAGGATAAAAATCAAGAACACGATTTAACTTCAATTTCCCTCCAACCAGTTTCTTCAAAACGCTACCTCCACCTTTTATACTCCCAATGCCTTGCTTAGTGAGTGAATAACTTAATCCCCAAAGCCTTGGTGCCTGTTCCATGTTCTCACATTCCTTCTCTCTCCCCTT